AATGGACCAATATCACACTTGTTTGTAGAATAAAAAGTGGCTTAAGAAAGTTTTAATTTGTAAAAGGTGAAGGGTTACACTGTAATATAGTCTATTAGGAGAATTCTTCTTAAAATTATTCTTAGGTTGAATATAATAATTGAGAAAATTGTAATATAAAGAAAAAAATCTTACCACATTTATTGGAAACTTCAAAGTTAAAAAAACCTCAAATTTACCACAATATCATGCCATGAACTAATTTGTAAAGCACACTTATGGCAAAAAGTCAGACAAAATGCAAAAACAGAATCATGATCTGTAAAGACTAGTTTGTAAAGACCAGATTCTGGAAACAGTATTATTTAAATGTTTCACCTATGAGATGTCCTTAAAATCCCTTTGCTAATAAAAGAAATTGAGGGAGGAAAACATTGTCCTGCCATATTTCAATACCCTCAGAATATGCTCTACTTCATTTCAACAGATCAGACTTTCAAAATAAATGCAGATGGTTCTATTGACATGTAGTATGCATATGTATACAAGATTCTATGCTTTCTCACAGTATAACTTTAAAGATATTCAAACTTCAAAACAGATATTCTGCATTCTTTGTTTCTTTTGCATCCAAACTTGACATCTTATACTAAGACTGAATATTATCTTAGGATGTTTCCTATTTTCAGCCAATTTCCAAACATCCTGAGAAAATAATAAATCCATAATCATGCCATGCTTTTACAAGGTTCATGTGTGTTATTCCTTCTTGTACAAAGAAAAAGAAAGCCACGGAGCAAACTGGACATTTCACAACAGAGCAAATGACATTATCTTGAGCTTTGTGCATCTGTCCTCTGGTTTCTGTTCAAAACAGATAAAATAAGAAATTCTCCAACCATTTTATTGTGCTTTTGTTCAGATGTATTTAAACAACATTTCTCAAGGTGTGTTCTATGGATTGTTTGCAGATTTCACAAAGGAAGAAGAAGAAGGAGGAGGAGGAAGAGGAGGAGAGGAAGGGAGGAGAAGAGGGAGGGGAAGAGGAAAAGAGGAAGAAGGAGGATGCATAGTCAACTCTATAATTGTTTAATACGCAAATAGAAACAATGACACTCTGAGTGATTAATAACAATGTTGTTCAAATTGATTTGATCAGAAAACATAGCACATTAAATGAACACTAAACCTTCTTTTTAAAAGAATCCATTCATTGTAGATCTTTCCAATATGTTTTCTGGTGAGATAAGAGAGTCTGAATCATGTCAATAAATGACTAGTCCAAAACAAAGGACAGTAGTAAGGCAATAAATACAGGATTATCAGCATGAAGACGTGATACATTTTAGCAACTCCATTTTCAAAAGCTTAGAGAAATAATCATAATACAAGAATAAGAACCCTTTGTCAAGAGTCAGTAAATTATAGCCCATAGAACAAATAGCCCTAGCCTGTGAACTAAAAATGTTTTTTCCAATAATTGGGTGGAAAATCTCAAGAATAATATTTCTCTCAATATGGAACATCTATGAAATTAATAATTCAGTGTCTATGAATTAAGTTTTATTTAAACACTGTCATGTTAATTATTGAATAAATATTAGCTGTGGCTAGATTTATACTGAAGTGGCAAGGTTGAGTATTTTGAATATTTGAGAAAAATGCTATATGTGGCCCTCAAAGTGCAAAATATTTACCTTCTGAGTCTTTACCAGAAAGTATTTGCTTGCTCCTCAGCTAATATGCCAACATTTACAAACCTGGACAAGAGTTGTCCTGCTGAACGCAGGGAATTACAGGGTTCTACTTTTATTTTAGAGGTTGCTTCTTCTTTGAACATTGCTGGAATTACTTTTGTGGAATTGAGTTCACTGATGAGGCAAGTAGGCTGAACATGCAACCTGGAGCCTCTTGGCCTAGTGTCTGCACCTTAAGGAAGCCTAGACCCCAAACACACACAATCCTGGTGTATTACAAGTAGCCATGTTTTAATAATGCCTGCCCATAACTACTATGTGTCTTGGACATTGCATACCAGTAGTAGAGGCAAGAAAGAAAAACCTAATGCATAAATCTAAAGAATCAACTCATTACAAACATCATGTCACTGTTGAACAATGGGCAATTAGATTCATGGATCTAACTCACCTGACAATTTTTCAAATGACATTAGATCTACTATTAAAGAATAATATGTTACTTTTGATAAGAAATCAGAGTGCCTGTTTTCTGAGAGAAATGCCAAAGCACAGGATCAAAAATGTTTGCAGCGTGGACAATATGACTGGAAAGGGGATGCTGGCTCTCAGGCACACTTGGAAAGCAACAGTACTTAAATATGAAAAGTGTGGTGCTCATGCTGAGAAGTCAGTTATTTAGAGCCAACAACATGACACATCTAAATACTCCACAGAAACTCAATGATTGATAATAAAAATAATAATCCCCAAACAACCAGCTAAATTGTTTTCTTATAAATGATGGGCCAATGGTCTGAGAGAACTAGTGTTTTGTGTGGCATCGGGCTATGAATAACTCAAAAAAATGGGCTGGGGTTTTTAGCTCAGGTGCAGAGCAATTGCTTAGCATGTGTGAGGCCCTAAGTTCAGTCCCCAGCACTGGGGAGAAACAAAAAGCCCAGAGGAGTGATAATCAATCACTACCACAGAACCAGTAAAAAAAGAAAAACACATCATCATATCTTATTTAAGGGAGTTAAGTGGACAGTGATTAGCCTTGTTCGGTCTGGTTACTTCCTGTGCATAAACTGCACATTCTTTGAGACATCTGTTGCTTTACCAATATTAGAATCTCTTCATGAGGGTTAATTATAAAGAACAGCATTCTGCCTTCAGGCTCTTCCCTCAGACAGTGCACAAAACAAACTAACCCAGTCAATAACACTGGGTTCCTTCAACACCTGATATCAAGGGCAAACCAATACTCATTGGTCTACTTTCTGCCCTCTCTCCTTAAACCTTCTTAGTCCCTTCTACCATCTGGCATGCTACATATTTTCTGTATTCAACTATTATACCTCTGTCCTCATAGAAATTAAGATTTATGTCAGTGGAGGTTTTTATTTTTACCCATTTCATTCACTAGTGTAGTAGAGTCTCAAAATGGAACACAGACTCTTGGGTTGAATTTTTGGAATGAATCAATAAATGATAGTGGACAGCTACTAGAAAATGCCATATTTAGTTGATATTGTCTTTACTTAACATTTTTTTAAAAATGAAATTTTGATGAAGATTTTCCATTACAGTTTGTTTATATCATCAAAACTTTTGAGTTATATAGTCCAGGAAAACACTTAACAAAGCATTGCACAAGTAAAAACTTAATTGTGTCTGACCTGTTGTGCTATTCAATGTTTTATCACTATGATAAAATACGTAAGAAAATCAGCTTAAAGGGGAGGTTATGACTTGGATATGAGGTATCCCCCAAAATCTTCTGTGATAATGCTGGAATATTCAGAGGTGAAATGATTGAACTGTGAGAGCTATAACCTAATCAGTCCATCCTAGTTGGAATGGAAAGTCTGAGTAGTAACTGTAGGCATATGGGGTGTGGCTGGAGGAGGTGGGTCACTGAGGAGCATGCCCTGACAGGGTTGTTCTTCCTGAGGCCCCTTCTCCCTCTCATCTCTGCTTCCTAAGCATGGCATGTGCTCTGTCACCTTGGGCCCTGAACAATGGAGTCAGTTGTCCATGAACTGAGACTTTTGAAGCCATAAGCCTCAAATAACCTTTTCCTCCTGAAGTTGTTTTCTGGTATTTTGGTCACAGAAACACAGACCCTGACAGGAGATAAGATTTTTTTGGTTCACATTTCAGAGGTTTCAGTCCATGGTGTGCTGGCTAAGTAGTTTTGGGCCTGAGGTGACATGGCACATCATGGCAGGAGGGCATGATAAAGCAGAGCTGCTCACCTCGTGGCAGCCAGGAAGCAGAGAGAGCAAGGAAGCAGCCAGAGAGAAGATGAACTGTTCCACGGCACCCCTTACCCCAGTGACTTACTTCTTCCAACTAGGCCTCACCTCCTACAGTTTCTCCACCTCCCAATTTCCTATCAAGCTATAATTCAACCACTCAATCAATTAATCCTTTGATGCGGTCAAATGATCCAACCACTTTCCAAGAGCCCCACCTCTGAATGGCTATTATTGGGGACTAGGCTTTCAACACAGGAGTCTTTGGGGACACTTCATATCCAAACCATAACACTGGTTCAATTGACTATATCTCTAATAAAGTGGGAATGACAAGTAAATGGAAGGATGGGTAGAAGATAAAACAATCCTGGAGCAGTTCATATCAGAACAAATAGCTCTCACATGATTATTTCAGAGCATAATTAGAAGAATCTGTCAGTTACCTGAACTATCCAGGGCCGGGGATGACCCACCAAGTTTTGGAATGAACGCCGGGTGATGTGTATGAGCTGATGACCAAAAGAGGTAACATAGGTGATCTCCTCTCTGAATAAGCGCCTCTTGTTCAGATCCTTTGAGAGTCGTTCTAGTTCAGATTTTGTTTCTCCACAGATGGGGGATTTTGTATAAAACTCAGCTAATGATTCTATGACTGACTCTTCATTCTCTAAAGGCATTTCAGTGTTGTTAGCTGGAATAAAAGTGGATAACAGGCCTCAGATTACTACCTCATTAATAACAGATTACTACTGGTTTCACCAGTTTTTCTGTGAACTCTTATTTGTATAACTCCTAAAATCTGAAACTTGAGTACAAAAAGAAATGATAATTTGTAAAGTCAATAAAAATATACTTACTCACTAACAAAAAAAATCTTTCTGGCCTGTGCACTAATGTGTAAATTCACAAGCCCACGTTTTAATGAGCCACTGCATTGCTAAATCTCAACCAACTCAATTTGGCAAAAATATGTAAATGTAAGATCTTCACATACCTTCATGGTCTTCTGACTCTCTCTTTATTATACCAGTAATGATATCCAGGAAGAATTCTTCAGGGATGATATAGCACTCACTTTTGTAACCTAGGAAAGAAGACATACCACGAACTCAACCTAGGCCTTGGAAAATAGAGAAAACTCAATAAGTCTGATGGGGTTATTCAGTCACACAATATTTCAATCACTCAGTCCCCAAGTTTTAAAAAAAGCATATTTCAAAATATTTTGAAATCTTCAGAACATCTTATATTATTAGTCTTCACTTCTCATAAATCCCCAAGGAGCTATCAATATGCTCTGGTACTTATCAATACTCCTTCAAAAATCTAAATATAGGTCCAGGAAAAAACACTAAGTTTCTGTGTGTATTGCATACTCTGAGTTCTCCTAGAGAATACTGGAATGGCAGGAGGCACATCAGCAAGGATTGCTTGGCAACCTGTTTAATCCAGAGATCCAAATAATCACAACTTAAGCTGACATAATTCCAAATTGACAACAAATTCCCAGAGAAGCACTATCAAGAGAACATAACCAGCACAGCACACCTGAGCAGTCACCTCAACTTCCTGTGGCACAATCATCTAAACTTGACCTATGCTTGACTCTTTAGTTCATCTTCCCTGGATTCCCCAGATTCACATGTGTTTGATTATTTTTAAACAACAAAGATTTAATAAAAACAAATTGAGAAAGATAATATTGACAATTTGATTTAGGGTCATGGAGAAACATCTATAATAATACCCAAAAACTTCTAAAAAGAAGAAGATGGAAAAACCATTAAAGAAATCATAATATTTAATCTGAAATAGAAAGAACCAAGGAGCCTGGAAATGTTGGCCCATTAATGTCAGATTCAGGGCCGGCTGTTCCATTGAGTTAATAGTCACACCACTCAAGACTTACATCTTCAATCTAATGTTACTAGAAAATGCAGCAGCATCTCATGAACCCTCAGAGAGACAGAGCAAGATCACGTGTCAGGGGAAACACTGGAAAACAACAAATTGTTGCATGGTCGAAAAGGCAATGATTTGGGACTTTTCAAAAGTGTTCAACTAACAGAATAACTAGCTATAAATGTAACATGTTAATTACTAAACTATCAGGGAAAGGATACCACACCTGGGAAGAGAATAGACAAAGGTACAAGACACACATGCACACACACACACACACACACACACACACACACACACACACACCATGCATACTCATATAGGAGAAGAGAAAGAGAGAACCCTGAACAACAAGCAAGTTCTGCAAAATGAAGAAAAATTCTGGCACCAAACTGATCAAAAATGTTTTGGAGTGGTGAAAATCCAGTTAGGTCTATGCAAAGATCAAGTAGTACTCCTGCTGCCCCCTCTGCTCTCCTCAGGAGTCTATGAATGAAAAATCTAGTGCATGAAAAGGTCAAACACACCTGCTGATTTGAAGTACTCCAAAGCCTCCTGTGCAGGACCGTGGTACATTAGTTTTCCTGAGGCCAATAAGGTGAGACTGTCAAATATGTTGAAGATAGAGTACCCAGGCTGATGAATGGAGAAGATGATTGTTCTTTCCTGCTCAGAAATGCTAAGTTAAAAGGGAAAATAATGAATCATTAAACATCTGAACTGGAAACTTCTTGGTAAAATGCTTTATTCCTGCCAGTAGAGCATTTTATCTCAGATCAACTTGATTTTCTCTTACAAAGTTCTCATTTCAACTTATATTATATACTTGAGAATTGGGGAAGCTAAAGCCAATGCTTTTATTCAGAAGACTAAAGATTCTTAAATTTTGGTACATCAAAGTACAGAATTGGCTAGAATTTAGTGAAAATGCAGGTTTCTACATAGTTTTCCCAGACAGGGAATTACAATCTCTGGGAGTATGCATAGGAAATCTGTATTCTTAATAAGCATTGCAGATACTCTAATATTATTACTAAGCACTCAGGATATATTTGCTAAATGAGTTAGAGTGAAATTCATTTCCATTTACACATGTTGTTAAAAGGAAAGTCTAATATTATTATTTTCCTCCTTTTACAGGTAAGGCTTAAAAGTTAAGCAACTGACCAAGGGCTCACAGTTACTAATGGGGAAAGGTTGGGATCTAAGCTCTGATCTAATGCAAAGCTAGGAACACTGCTAAACTATCTTTTGCAGAAATTATTACTTATGAGTAGAAGACACAAAGGCCAAAATCACTATTCAAAACTGTTATTTAAAATATTTTAAAAGAATCACTTTAATTTAAGTATTTGATAAGGACCTTGGGTATCTAACAATGTATCCAAGGATCTTCTGCCTCAAAGAGAAACATGAGATGAGAATCTATAATTTCAATAAGATGTGGATTAAAAGTAGCTAATGGCTCCTTGTAAACAACAAAAAAAGGAGAGTGATAACCCAGTCTGAAGGTGATGTAAATAGAATATCCAAATTCCCAATGATGGTGTGTCTAGCAGCTGAAAAAGATGGAACAGAGGAGTTTCCAGGGACAGTGGACAAAAAGCAGTGACCAGAACTACTGGGAGAGTGTTTCCAGTAAAAATTAAAGTACTTCCCTGAGTAAGTAAGTAAATATTTTGAGATAATGGCAGCCCAAGCTCTCCCTGTCCAAAGTCACTTACAGACATGAAAATGGCAAAGACTAAACATAAGACAGTGGTGTTAGATTGAAATCACAAATATTTTTATGAACTCATGGGCTTTTCAATATATACACACTAACATAAACAATAATAGTTATAGATCTTTGTTTATGCATGCATTTTTATAGAAAAAAATAGATATGAAGTCTAGATGTAGTTCATTAATACAGTGGGTGCATAGTATGCACAAAGCCTTAGGTGAGGATCCCCAGCAAGGAAAAAATAAAAATTATATATATATACACACACACACACATACATACACACTCATACACATATACAAAGGCTCATATTGTTATTTAATATATTTCCAAATAAAACATGAAAGTATATTAATATTATGTGTGGGTATAGACATAAACACATTTATACATGTACTTCCTAGGTCTGTCTACTATGGACCTAGAAGCAATGCCACTCTAGGATCAGTGAGCACACTGAACAAACAGATATTGATCTCTAAGTGTTAACTATACCAGAATAAACCAGGACCGCTGGAAGAAAGTGCTCACTCAGGAGATGAACATGATAAGCCATAAATAGCATTGTGACCATGAAGTAAAGTACTGTAAAAGAATCGTACTGGACATGTGAAAACACAAAAGCCACATGGAAGAGGTTTCTACTGGTCAAGTCAAGGCATAAGACCACAAAATGCTAATCATTTCTCAGGGTAAAAATTATAATTTCAGAGCAAAGAGGCCCAGTAGACACCATCACAATCAGATGATGGAGACTGACACCACCACAATCAGAGGGCTGAAGCTGCTACCACCTATAGGGGGCGCATTCCCAGGTATGTTGCATTGATAACTCTCACCTGATGCACGCAGCTGAGAGTCACCAAATGAACTGCTCCAGGTTGTAAAAAGACAGGAAAAGTATGTTTCTGGAGAGGATTCTGAGGCAGAATATAAACAGAGACAGTAGGGATAACTGGGGAAATTTGAGCAGCTCTGGATTGGATCCTGGGAAAGTCATGTTTATTGTCTAGGGTGTGCAGATGATGATGTGCCTCCCTGATTGGAGTCTGCAGTAGGGAGTATTTGGGGTGAACGGGCATGATGACAGATAGAAACTATGTAGGGAGCATCAAAAGGGAAGGAGGGGCTGTAGATGCAGTGAAATCAAAGAGAGAAGAGTTCACTTGTTTTGTTCTTGGATCCTTTCTATCAGTAGGAAATATGTTTCTATAGTTTTAAAGATGAGATGTCTAAATCTGAGCTATTGAAAATTTTCCTATAAATATTTCCAAACATTTTTCTATCTTGATAAAAGGAAACATCATTTCTTAAATTTCATTCCTCCACTTCTTCAGGCCCCAAATCTTAGCAGTTTGTCTGGATCCTACCATCCCAGGTCCAGTCCTGATCTGATTCTCTTAGTTCCCTTGAAAACAAACCCAGAAACCATCCACTTCTCACCATGATCCTCCTAGTCAAAACTCCTTCATCTTTCAGTGAGTCCTTCATGGGGTCCTCCCTCACCCTTGCTCTACAGCACAGTCTTGTATACAGCATTTGTTCTGCTCTAGAACTCTCAAAACATCCTCATGTCCCCTAGTGACAGGAAAAGCCATACTTCTTACATGGCCTCTGAGGACAATGCAGTCTGCAACCAGATCCACTCCACCTCATGTCCTAATCCACCCGTGAAGGGCTAAACTGGGTCCTCCCCAAACTAAGATGTTAAAATCCTATCCCCCAGTGCCTCAGGATGTGGCCACATTGGACATAGTGCTTTCAAAAAGGTCTTTAAATTTAAATGAGGTCATTGAGGGTCCTCATCTGCCTGTCCAATTAGGAGCAGATTAGGGCAAAAACATACAACAGAGTTGATGGCCTTCTACAAGCCGAGGAGAGAGGCTAAGGAAGAAACAAACCTGAGGATGCATCAACTCAAATTACTGCCTCCAGAGCCATAAGAAAATTATTATTATTTTTTTTTGTTAAGCCCCCAGCCAACCTCCACTATTCTTAGTACCAAGGTCTGTCCTGGCCTCTGTCATGTTCCACACACATCGACATGCTCTGCCTCAGGGCAACTGGTTGCTTCTTCCAACTAGAACTCTCTGCTAAATTCATAGCATATCTCACTTTCTCTGTCTCTCTGACTCTGTCTCTCTCTCTCTTTCTCTTTCTCAGCTCCTGTGTCCCATGCTTGTTGTCTTCCCTGACCTTCCTGCTATTTTAAAAGCTTCCCAACTTTACATGAACTTCCTTCCCTATGCTCTCGTTTCATCTTTCTTGAACCATTTATTATTTATTGACTGTATCACACTAACCAAGAGAAACATTTTTTT